ATGTAATATTTCATAAAATAGTTTCTGCATTTTCTTCTAAGCCCCTGATGCATATTCAGAAAGTTTTGCTGCTGAAATTTTCTTTACCAGAAGTTAACAACAGAAAGTTTTCAGGCAACAACTAAGACTCCTATTCCTTCCTCAAATGGTTGTTAACTAAAACTACTCAAAGTATGACCAACTCGATGGACGTGAGTTTGAGCAAGCTCCCGGAGTCAGTGATGGACAGAGAAGCCAAGAGTGCTGCAGTCCATGAGGTCGCAAAGAGTCGGACACAACTGACCAACTGAACTGAATTGGTAACCAAGTTCAAGCAAGAGGAATTAGAAGATGCCACTGACTGTAAAACATATTCTAATTACAGAAATGTTAAAAATGTAAAAAATCTGCATCTTAGACTCAACAAACATGATCAAACATCACAATCAAAAAGGATTTATCTCAGGAATACAAGAAGAGTTTAACATTAGGAGACTTATTAAACAAGCAGCCTTGCTTAGCAACAGAACCATGCAACAGAAGCACGGGACATGCCCCAAAACATAAACAATGGTGGCGTGAGACCCACATCTCCCCTGTGAGGTCAGTAAGTTCATCATCCCTAGGACATGTTCTCTGCACACATGAAAAGCAGTGATTTGTGGACCCAGTTAGACAATGTAAGAACAAGAAAACTCCCCTGCTCAACCTGGAGAAGGAACTGATGATGGAACCATGACATCTACTCAAGAAAGACAAAGAAGTTCTTCTCCCCCTCCCCACTTTTCCTTTGATTATAAAACTATAGCCCAGTGAGTTCTTGGGGTGTGGCATTTCTCACCTGCCCGCTTGTAAGCCTCACAAGTGTCCTATTCTAATAAATCACTTATCTATCAAAAAAAAAAGAAAGAAAATTTATTGAAGAAAACAGCTCAAAACATGAAGAAAATCATTTGATAAAACTCAACAATCACAACATTTTTAAAAAACCTCTTATCAAAACAGAAATATAAAGGAATAGTCTTAACTTTACACAGCTGACTACCTGCCAAGATTTTACAGCAAAAACAAAACGAACAAAAAACAGTAAAATGCTAGAAACATCCCCTTTGAATGCAAGAATAGAATATACGTAATTGCCATCATTGCCTCTATTCAATATTCTACAAAGGTCTTAGGCAGCTCAATAAAACAGGAAAAGAGTAGAGATAATACAAGAAGCGGAAAAGAAAAAAGAACTAACCTGTTATGATCAACCCAGATAACCCAAAATAAACTACAAACTATTGCACCAATAAGACAGTTCAGCAAGGTTATGAAATACAAAAGCCAATATATTAAAGCCCACAGAAGGCCCATAGTACAGCAATGTACAATTAAAAATACAATTTTTATAAAAGGTGGTAGTTACAATAGCTTGTAAAAATACATAGGAATAAATTTAGCCAAAGATGTAATGCATTTTTTTGGATGTAATGCATCTTTATAGGAAACACTTAGAGCTTCATTTTAAAACGTTTACTAAAATTAAAAAAAAATGAACTAGTAAGATACAAAGTGATATAAAATATTTATGAGTGGGAAGAATACATATATTTCTACCTGATATAAACTATAAAGTTATTGAAATTCTAAAATTCTAATGAAAACATACAATATATAACAGGCTGATCCTAAAAGAGGGAAAACAGATCTAGGAATAGCCAAAACAATTTTGCAGAAAATAAAGAAGGGACTGATAAACTCACCCTACCACACATCAAGACTTTTTATAAAGTTTTAAGAATTAAAACAACATGGTATTGACGTAATAACAACTACTAGACCAATGGAACAAAATATTTAAATGAGAAACAAAGATCCAAGTAAAGATAATTCAGTCAAATGGAATGCAAAGGATACTGGTATATAGTCACAAATCAGCAGGTATAAGAACACTTGGTTAACAATATGGGGGGGGGGGGGGGGGAAGAAATGGATCCATAACATATACAATAGAATACAAAAATAAATTCCAGATGAATCAAAAGCCTAAATGTGATGAAACTTTAAAAACTGATGAAATGTAAGAAAACATTATTGAAGCAGTAAAGAATTTTTTGTAGAAGCACAAAAAATATAAACTAAAAAGAAAAAATGACAAATTTCAGTATATATAAAAGCATGTATACCAAATTCTTTTGTATACTTTTCAAAAGTGAAGAAGTTTAAATCTGGGAGAAAATATTGTGAAATATAGATAGACAGATAATCAAATACCAGAAAAACAAATCCAAAAAAATAAAATGGGCAACAATATGAATAGATAACGTTATAGAACTGAAAATGGTCAAAATATTCATGAAAATATGTTCAATTTCACTAGTAATCAAGGCAATTGCTGTTACGAGGGGATATAATTTTATATTCTTCAGATTGTCAAAAATTTGAGGTTTAAAAATAACAAGACTTGGCAAGGTTGTAGAGATATGGAACTAAAGAGGGGAGAATGTAAACTGGTATAACCACTTAGTAAATATAAAGATGAAGAGCTCTAAACTCCAGCTCCATTTCTAGGTATAATCTCTAGAAGCACTCTCACATGTGTGTCCAAGGAGACATGTACACAAAAATTCAATGCTATGATGTTTAAATGATATAAAATTGCTGCTGTTGTTTAGTCACTAAGTCGTGTCCAGATCTTTTGCAACCCCATGGACTCTAGACCGCCAGGTCCCTCAGTCCATGGGGTTTGCCAGACAAGAATACTGGAGGTGGTTGCCATCTCCTCCTCCAGGGAATCTTTAGGATCCAGGGATCGAACCTTTGTCTCCTTCATTGCAAGCAGGATTCTTTACCACTGAGCCACCAGGGAAGCCCTGATGTAAAATTAGAAATAATCAAAAGGTCCATCGATGTATAAATACGTTATAGTATTTAGTATAAATGCTATATACAGTATATATAGTATTTATTTATATTTATATATATATAATATATATAGCATATTTATATGTGTAATATATATATAGTATAAATACAGTATAGTATAGATATATAAATACATTATAGTATAGACATATAGTATAGACAGTATAGTATAGTATAGACATAAATACGGTATAGTATAGACATCGATGTATAAATATATTATAGTATAGACATACAGTATAGTATAGACATTATAGTATAGTATAGTATATAAATACAGTATAGTATAGTATACACTGGAATACTCAGAAACAGCTAAAACGAAGTGAATGGATGAATGAACGCATAAATTTCAAAAGTGTAGCTATTAACTTGGAAAGATACTGACAACACATTAAATGGGGGAGAAAAACAGACTATAAGACCACACACTTTTAAGTAAGGCATCAAATGGTTAAATGAACTTTGCCCTAAATGCACTAATAGGCCAATGTTCCATTAATGCATCTGCCATATTTTAATCTCATCAACTTGCATCCATGGATAGACATTAACTAAAATAATAAAAACTATAATATAGTAATTCTAGTATTTTGAATAAGAAAGAGATTGCAGTAATACTGATACAGAATAGCTATATTCAAAGCCAAAAAAAAAAAAATTTCCCAGCGTTGGTGCCAACAATCCCAACCTTTCCAGATGAGACTTGTTCTTTCTAATCATCCAGTGAGAGAGCTACCAGAGCTATTAATAGAACAGTGTGTGTGTAAGTTGCTGGTCATACACACCAAAGAGCAAGGTAAAATCTAATAAACTATACTTAGAATGAACTGTCAGGGATTAGTAAAGCAAAGCTATACTCATAAAGTGATGTCATATTTATTAGAGGAAAGAGTGGCAGCAGGAAGTTACTGGAGGAATTTTGAGAGAACAACACATTTTTACCTGAGACCCTCTGACAAACTGGAAATTGACTTGAGTGCTCTAAAACCTGTGCTCCATATTTTTTTCATTAAAAGTTGCCCAAAAGGTGCAAGAATCAGAATAGATTATATTTTATGGAAACTGCAATAGCATATTAAAGGAAAATTGTTTCCTCTACTCACAACATTTGAAACCAAATGTGTGGGGGTTTCCTCACACCAACTAATTCTCTAGCTCTCCAGACACAACTGAGTGCCCTACAATTCAATTCTGACACTAACTACCAAGACTTGGCACAGACTCCAAGGCTAAGGGCTCAGTTCCACAATATCACCCCCTAGCTCAGACACCAAGCAACAAGCAGTGGGTCCACATGTTACTCACACTCCTGTCCAACTTCCGTTCCCATAATCCCCTCCATCTCAGGGTTGATAATTTGCTATGGCCGCTCACAAAACTCAGGGAAACACTTACTTACACTTACCAGTTTATTACAAAGGATATTATAAAGAATATAAACAGCCAGATGCAGAGGTATATATGGCAAGGTCCATAAGCGTCCTGACTACAGGAGCTTGGTCTTCATGGAGTTGGCGTGCACCACCCTCCCAGCACATGGATATATTCACCAACCTCTCCAAAAGCTCTTTATGAGGCTCTCCAAACCCCACAGTTCAGGGATTAGTCTACAGAAGCTTCATCATGTAGGTATAATTGATTAGTAACTCAATCTCTAGCCCTTTTCCCTTCCCTCCCAGGGTAGGGAGGCTTAAAGTCCTAACCCTCTGATCACAAGGTTGGTTCCGCTGGTAACTAGCCCCAGCCTGAAGCCATCTAGGGGCCCATCAAGACTCACCTCATTAGCATGCAAAAAGCACCCTTATGAACTCCAGAGATTTCAAGGGTCTTAGAAGATCTTAGGAACCAGGGACCAAGACTAAATATTATAATAAAAAATGTTCCTATCACCCCCATTATTCAGGAAATTACAAAGGTTTTAGCAGATCTTGTGCCAGGAACCAGGGATAAAGACCAAATATGTTTTTCTTGTTATATCAAAATATCATATATACAATAAAGGGTAGGGAGTTAGAACTTCAAAGGGAAAACTATTTTCATCAATATTTCTTTCCTGTGAAAATATTTCTTATGTTCTTTATACCTTGATGAAATACTTTTGAGACTTCTAAGACCAACAAATATAAACTGCATTTATTGTGCCAAAATTGAGAATGGCTCAGGCTCCATAATGGGAATTGGATGTAAGATGTGCTGAGTCTCAGCTTCTAGAAGAGTTGATTTTGAACTCAGTCACCCTTTCAGAGAAGACATACCAGCTCGCATAATTTCATCAACCAGGAGAATGTTGGTGGCGATCACAGTGCTAAGGGAAAAGATGACAGGGTGAGTAACACTCACCAACCCACTCTTCTTTCCCCCCAGAAATCTCCAGCTACTAACGGCACTTTGCTCTGCAAAGATGTTGGTGTGAGATAAGACAAAGGCATTATAAATAAAACCTCTTGTATTATAATTCCATCTCCTTTGCTGATAAAGTGGAAGCCTAATTTTATATTCCAGCAAAACTGAGCTCATTTTTAGCACATCATTTGATTTTTTTCCCACTATGCATGTGGTACTATTTCAGTAAACTTCCTTCCTTTCCCTCTCAAATAAACAGTAAGATTAACATTTCCTATAACTTACACAGTTAGAACTAAAATGTAAAAGGGACTGGAAAATGACAGAAGCTAGTTTTAATAACTGGATACCATGACTTTTTATATACTTCACCATTTTCCACTGTAGCATGGAAAAAATAATAGAAAAATCTTAATGTTAACAATTATGTCCCTAAAAGTCTTTCTCTTATTAATACAAACTTACCAAGAGTGAAGAAGTTGTTTTTTTACACAATAATTATCCCACACTCCTGCATCTGCTGCTATCATTGGCTCACCTGCAAAGCAAAAACAATTTCAATACTACAATCTTGACATATTCTGTTACCATTGACTATGTATTCTAACAATATCTCATATACCACCAAAACTACTATTGTCAAGGTCACCAATGGCCTCCCTGGTGTCAAACCCAAAGGTCGGGTCTCGGGCCTCGTCCATCAGCAGCATTTAGCACAGCTGACCACAGCCTCCTCACTGCTCTTCCTTCACCTGTCTTTCAGGATACCGCACTTGCCTGGTTTTTCTCCTCTGCACTAGCGGCTCCTTTACTGTCTGTTTTGCTGGTTCTTCCTCTTCCTCCTGAGCTCTTAATGTTGGAGTGCACAAAGGCTCAGATTCTTTTCTTCTCTCTTTATACTCACTCCCTAGGTTATCTCATTCAATCTACTGGATGTAAAACACATATACTCTGGGACTTCCCTGGTGGTCCAGTGGTTAGGAATCTGCCTTGCAGGTGACAGGGATCTGATCCCTGGTCGGAGAACTAAGATCCCACATTCCATGGAGCAACTAAGACTGAGTGCTGCAATGAAAGATCTCACATAATGCTACTAAGACCCAACACAGCCAAATTAAACAAAAGATTTAATGTTAAATACACACACACACACACACACACACACACACTGACGACTCCCAAGTTTTCATCTCCAATCTGAGCCACCTTCCTGAGCTTTAAACTTGTACATCCAACTGTCTATTTTAAAGTCAACAGATACTCCAAACTTAACCTTGTCAGAACTCAATGCTGACCTCTAGCCACAACTTGCTCTACACAGTCTTCTTCAAAGCAGCCAATGCCAATGGCAATTCCTTTCAGTTGTTCAGTTGACTCCTCACCACAGAATAGCAAAAGTGATCCTTTTAAATACATTCAGACCACGTCACACCTCTGCTCAAAATTGCTCACTGTTCCACCACAGAAAGTCAAACTCCCCACACTGGTCCACATATCCTCTTGTGATCTGACCTTCTATCACCTCTCCTATCTCCCATCTCCTCTTCAAAAAACACCAGACACTGGCTTTCCCACCAACTATTCCCTCGGCCTAGGACATCCTTCCCCTAGTTCCCATGTAGCTAATTTCCTAATTTTCTTTGATTTTGTTCAATAGGCATTCTCACTGAGGCCTACTCTGATCACTCTCTTTAAATTAAAACACCCTCCCCATGCTCCTGTTCCAACATTCACAATCATCCTTATACTGTTCCTTTATTTTTGTCATATAATTTACTGCCTTTAAAAATGTTAAAGGTACTTACTTATTAAGCTTATCACTTACTGCCTATCTTTTCCTGCTGCAACATAAGCTCACAAGGGCAGGGACTTTTGTCTATGTTGTTCTGTGTGAATCCCTACTCAAATAACAAGCACTCAATTTTTCTATTAAGCAGCTAAGTTTTCTTCACTGTCTTACCTGTATTCAGATCTATGCCGACTGGTTGTTTTGAATCTGAATGCTCAGCCTGAACTTTTACTAGTGTTTCCTGCAGGTCATAACCAGAATTCTGAGCAAGAACCTGTATGAATAAAAATAATAATAAATATATGTATAGAATGTCTTCATATATATGAGAATATCAGATAAAAAATGAGGCACTGCTTTCCAGTCTTGTGAAAACACACCCATAATGTAGTAATCATCACCTTTTGAAGAATTTCACTCTTAATCTAAACTTAATTATTTTGTGTACCTAGCAATTATTATATTCACTTCAACATTTCCCCTATGTACATCACATTAAACTCTGAAGACAGTTTCCCCAACCCCAGCCTGCTAAATTAATTTCCCTCTGTTAAGGACTAAAACCACCCACCCTGGCCAGGCATAAAAATAACCACTTGCATAAGCTGTCTCACAACAGGAGGTCCTGACAGAGAAGAGGGACCTGACAAGGTACCTCCAACACCAATCAGGAGACTCTGGGAGGGGCCAGAAAGAGGGATGACACACCAGCCCACTCTATGTCCTGACAACCTCCCAGAAACTCTCGAGTTAGAATCCATCTTGACTGAGAGATGTGCACGCCCACCAGGAGAGGGCCCTGGGCTGGACCAAACAGGAGCACAAGCAAGACGACTGGCCACAGACAACCTGGGAACTAACCCCAGCACCAGAAACCCAAGACTGAGTCAAGAGGAAGAGCAGTTCTCCTGGGTTCCCATACTCTGCTTTCTGCTTGATCACTCCTTCCCAATACAGTCGTTTGCTTTGTCAGTACATGTGTCTCCTCGGACAATTCATTTCCCAGTATTAGACAAGGGCCCTTGAAGAGGTCCATCCCCATAACAACTCCTTGCAAAAGATTTTTTTTTTAATGGAAAGAAGTAGAAAGGTATTGTCGTTTGCTTGGTCCTTCTAGCCACACATTTTCTGGGTTTTCCTGAGCATTTGCTAAAGGAAATCTGCTTATTTGTAGCGTATCTGTGCCCTTTGTTCACATGAGGAGTCACGACTTGTAGCAGCAGAGATGGAGATACCTGCACTCCAAGCCAAGTTCATTTCCAAGTGGTCCTAAACCAACAGCACGTGACTAAAAAGGTACCACTCAATGTATACTCAAATTTACCAACGTGCTGCAACTATTACAGACTTTGCCTCTTCAGAGAAAGAAAACAATGGATATCTAATTCACAAAAATGCAACAAATTATGAATAATTTTAAAGCAATTATCAAAGAGATTTTGCTACTATTTTAGTAATGTTTTAAATCATGGTAATAGCATATTTGAAATAGTTTTCTGTGTTTCCAAGTGGTTCACAAACAGATTAAGGCAAAGGGGAAAAAAATGGTAGTTCTCTGTCCTTCTGTTGACACAAAGGAGGAAAAAAAAAAACAAAACTGGTTTCTCTCCTTTTCTAGTACTGTATTTGGAAGTGCTAAACAGCCAAAAGTTCTCACTTCCCATAATTTAAAGTGCTCGTACTTTGGATACCACCAACAAAATAAAGATCTACTCAAAATCTAATTAAATTTTACATTCTAAACTTCTTTATTATGATTAATCATGAAGTATTTTTGAAAGAAATTTTTGGAGTTAACTTCAAATTTTGGAGCTCAGAGATGGAAGCAAAGTAGTAATTTAGCCATTTCATGAAACTCCTACAAGCATTCAGAGCTATTATACTAAAAACTTCCCTGCTTCAGCTAAAACTATGTGGGGAAATACAAGTAAACACCTATCTTTCTATACTACTGTGATACCTAATATGGGCAATTTAATTACACATCTTATGTCCAACCAATTGTTCTTTGGCCACTAGGACAGTTGTACCTTAGGGATAATGAGTAAAGCATCAGCAAAAGCTTGGACTCCAAGACGAGCTCTTCCTTGTATCGTGTGCTTGTATGTAACTAGAGCTTCAGCTATTGCCTGCTCCCGGAACAACACAACCATCTTCAATGGCATTTTTGATGGCATGAAGTCCATCCCTTACAGCATCCTTGATTTGTGTGAGAGTATGCTTATTTGGTCCCTTAACCAACAAGGTGACAGAGCGAGGGTTAATGTAGTCCTCAGTAAAAGTGTACTTTTCCCCACCTAATGTATATTCATATATAAGACCAGCATATCCCAAGCAATCTCCACTGAGGTCTTCAACAGAATTCACAGGCACTCCACCACAAGCGAGAGTCTTTCCATGTTTCTTGTTTTTGCGCAACGAAGAGCTAAAATGCCATGNTTTGAACTGTGGTGTTGGAGAAGACTCTTGAGAGTCCCCTGGACTGCAAGGAGATTCAACCAGTCAATCCTAAAGGAAGTCAGTCCTGAATATTCATTGGAAGGACTGATGCTGAAGCTGAATGAAGCTCCACTACTTTGGCCACCAGATTCGAAGAAGTGACTCATTTGAAAAGACCCTGATGCTGGGAAAGATTGAAGGCAGGAGGAGAAGGGGACGACAGAGGATGAGATGGTTAGATGGCATCACCAATTCAATGGATATGAGTCTGAGTAAACTTCGGGAGCGGGTGATGGACAGTGAGGCCTGGCGTGCTGCAGTCCATGGGGTTGCAAAGAGTCGGACATGATTGAGTGACTGGACTGAACTGAACAGGTAACAGCTGGCTACAAACAGCTTATTTCATTGTTTATAAGAGCAGACATACCTTCATCCTTCTCCTTTATGACTGCACTTAAAATGTAGTTACCTAAAATTTATGGTTGCAGACCACTAATAACAGCATTTGATTTGAAAAAAATGCTAGGCCAACATAAACTGGTCATAGTTTTTGGTATGAAATTCTCAGAACTCAAGGAAGTATTTGCTTCCTTGTATAAGCAGACTCAAACTGTTTAAGAAAAAAATTACATGTTATTATTCTAAGGCAAAAGCTCTGGTTAAACACATCAATTTTCACTTGAGGATATAACTCTTACACCTGCTAGTATGGTTTTATAAAGTTTATTTACTCTTCTCTGAATTAGTAAACTTGCTTTGGAATCATCCATGTTTAAAATAAACAACACAAAAAAAAATAAAAAATAAAAAACAAACAACACAAAGAGACTCTCTCCTTTTATCCTACATCATTCTTTAATTACAACCCCCTTTCTCTGCTTCATTGTACAACATAACTGCTCAAGAGAATTGTCTACCCACAAGGTAATTACAGACTCACCTCCCATTCACACTTTCTAAAAGCTCCTTGTTAAATACTGAATAAACACAAAAGAGTATTTACATGTATAATATATAAAGAATAAATGTACAAATAAATGTACCCATGTACCTACCACTCAGTTTAAGAAACAGAACATTACCAGTAGCTTTGAAAATTTCCCAGATCCCATTTTCCTGTAAAAACACAACGTACCAATATGTGTGGGATGCCGCTAATGCAGTAACTGAAGAGAAATTTACATCACTAAACACCCATATTAGAAAAGCACAAAGGTCTCAAACCAATGAAGAACAAATGAAAACTAATGTAAGCAGAAAAGGAAAACAGTAAAGATCAAAGTGGAAATCAATGAAATAAAAATGATCCATGAAATGAAATGAGAACAGTGTAGAAATCTGTCACTATGGATTTTACAGTTATTAAAGGCATAATAAAGTAATATTACAAACAAGTTTATGTCAGTAAATTTGAAAACAAAGACCAGGGGTTACCAAACTCTCTGCAATAGGCCAGGTAATGAATATTTTAGGCTCTGTAGGCCATGCCATCTCTTATGCAACTATTTGATTCTGCTAGGATAGCACAATGTCACAGACAATACATAAACAAATGGGGGCATCTATGTTATAACCTAACTTTATCTACCAAAAATAGGCAGCAAATCAGACTTAGTTCATGGCAGTATGATCTTAACTTAGATGAAGTGGACAAATTTCTTGAAAGACACAAAGTACTAAAGCTCACTCAAGAAAAACAGACAACCTGAATAGTCCTGTATCTATAAAAGACATTGAATTTGTGCTTAAAATCTTCCCATGAAGAAAACTCCAGGGCTTCCCTGGTGGGCTCAGGGAAGAGTCTGCCTGCCAGTGCAGATGAGGGGATAGGGAATTCCCTGGCAGTCCAGTGGTTAGGACTTCAGTCACAGGTTCAGTCCCTGTTGGGGAACTAAGATCCCTCAAGTCACAAGCTGTGGCCAAGAAAAAAACAAAGAATGGATAAATAAAATGTGGTATATATCTTTAATGGAATATTATTCAGCCTTAAAAGGAAGGAAATTTTGAATATAATTATAACAGGAAACTTATATTATATTATTATATATAATATTAAATTATATTATAATCATAATAGGAAATTTAATATAACATGGATGAACCCTGAAGACATTATACTCAGCAAAACAGCCATTGACAAAAGGACAAATACTGTATGATTCCATTCATATGAAGTACATAGAACAGTCACATTCATAAAGATAGAATGTAGAATGGTGGTCTCTAGGGGCTTGAGAGAGAAGAGAATGGAAAGTTATTGCTTCACGGGTACAGAGTTTCAGTTTTGCAAGATGAAAGATGTTCTGTGATAGATGGTGGTAGAGACTGCACAAACCTAAGACCAGCAGTTCTAAAAGAAAAATTTTGCGACCTTGGGTAGGTAAAGATTTTTTAGATATCACCCAAAAGCATAATCCATGAAAGAAAAACTGATAAATTGTACTTCATCAAAATTAAGAATTCTTCTTTGAAATACACTGTTAAGAGAATAATAGAACAAACTACAGAGTAGCAGAAAATATTTACAGATCATACATCTGAAAAGGTATTTGTATTCAGAATACATAAAGAACTCTCAAGCTCAACAATAAGAAAACAAACAACCCAATTTTTAAAAGGGCAAAAGATTTGAACAGAAACTTCACCAAAGATATGGATAGCAAGTAAGCACATGAAAAGATGCTTAACATCAATGATCATTAAGGAATTGCAAATTAAAATTACAGCTTGGTTTTTTAAATTTTAGAATGGCTAAAGTTAACATGACTGACCATACCCAGTACTATTGGTAAGGATACAGAACAACTAACAGGAATGTAAAACAGTCTGTGACAAAACAGTTGAGCAATTTCTAAAAAGTTAAACATAGTATTGCTTTCCTAGCCATTTACCCAAGGCAAATGAAAGCATACGTCCATACAAAGACTTGTATACAAAGGTTCACAACAACTTTATTTGCTATAGCCAAGAACTGTAAACAACCAAATGTTCATCAATAGGTGAATCTGATGAAATAAACTGTAGTATATTCACATAATGGAATACTATCGAGCAATAAAATGAATGAACTCTGATCAATATAATAACACTAATTAATTTACAACAATTACGTTGAGTAAAAGAAGCCAAGCAAAAAAAAAAATACACAGTGTATTATTCCATTCATACAAGAGTCTAAAAAATGCAAACGAATCTATAGCAACAGAAAGCTGACTTCCTGTTGTACCCAGGAGGTTGCCTACAGGCAGGGTGACACAGGGAGAGGAGGAAGGAAGGATTACCAAGGGGCAATGAGGTAACTTTTCGGGGTGATAAGTATATTCATTATCTTGACTGAGGGGACTGTTTCATGGCTGTATACTTTAAACATGTGTAGTTCATAATATGTCAATTACCTAGATAAATTATTTCTTAAAAAACTAAGAGGTTGAAGTGATTTTTAAAAATATTCCATTTTTTTGGTCTAAATCCTAAGAACCATGTTGAACTACCAAAGCCTTCATGCTGAATCATATGTTTATCTTCTTTAAAAAATATTACTAGCTTTCATCAAAAGTGACTATAAGAAGTAGGCGCTCATACCAACTCCCACATTTTTTTAATTTAGGAACTGCTGTGATTTCTCCTTTTCAATAATGAAACCTATATAGTTGATTGTATCTCTATGTCTGGCAGATTAAATATTACAGTGACTATTATGTTTGCTATATCCATATTCTCTTTTCATTGGTTTTAATTTTCCATCTCAGCTTCTGTTTTACCATTATTTCACATTTATGTTTCTGCTTATCAGACAAATCTGATGTATTGTTTATAGAGTTACTCTATTTTTTGAGATACAACTCACACACCATAAAATTCATAAAATTTTTACACTGGTGCAGTGGTTAAGACTCTACAGTTCCACCACAGGTGGCATGGGCTCGATCCCTGGTTAAGGAATCCCAAATTCTATGCTATGCAGCCAAAAAAAAGTGTACTTCCCAGTAGTTTTCAGTATATTCACATGACTGTGCAACCATCACCATTCTAATCCCAAAATATTTTCCTAAAAATACCCTGTACCCACTAGCAATCATTCCCAACTTCCCCTTCCCCCAGCCCCTGACAATCACAACTACTAATCAACTTCTTATGGCTTTGCCTTTTCTGGAATCATATAACACATAGACTTTTGTGCCTAGATTCTTTTACATTATAGAATGTTTTCAAGGTCATCAATATTGTAGCATATATCAGTATTTATTCCTTTATAATACTCCATTGTATAGACATACCACATTTTATATATCTATTCATCAGCTCATGGATATTTGGACTGAGACGTCTCCACTGGCTGGCTACTATGAACATTCATGTGTATTTTTGGTGCGGACATACATTTTTACCTCACTTGTACACACGTTAAGAGCTGATGTGCTGGTCATAGAGTAACTCTACATTTAATCTTTGAGGAACTGCCTATTTTCCAACAGTTCCCACCAGCAACGTATGAGGGTTCCAATTTCTCCACATTTTCATCAATGTTCATTATTATCCAGGTTTTTGATTACTGCCATCCTAATCACCATGAAAGAGTATCTCTTGGTGGTCCTGATTTTCATTTCCCTAATGAATAGTGATGTTGAGCATTTTTTCATGATGTGTTTACTATTCTCACTTACACAGTGTGTTACTGAATTATCTAACCCTAACTCCTTTTAGAAGGAAGCTGGTAATAAATTGTCAATAAATATTCTTTCCTAATCTTTCTTAAAATTATACTGCACTGAGGAAATGGAACGGGTCCTAAGCTGTAAAAGCATTTTCACGGTTTTAAAAATAAATTTCTAAAAATAAAAAATGATACTATAATATTAAATCAGTTTTTTCATTTAATAAATAGAAGTTAATTAAAAAGGCAGCAAGCTATTCAGAATATTTCAGTATGTCCCCGGTGGTCCAGTGGATAAGAATCTGCCTGCCAATGCAGGGGACATGGGTTCCAAGGCTGGCCCGGAAAGATTCCACATGCTACGAAGCAACTAAGGCCATATGCCACTACTGAGTCCACACTCTACAGCCTGGGAGCTGGAACTGCGGAGCCACAACTACAAGCCTGCAAGCTCTAGGGCCCATGTGCCACAAGTACTGAACCTGTGCGCCTACAGCCTGTGTTCCACAACAGGAGAGGCCAACACAATGAGAAGCCCTGTGCAACGCAGTGAAGAGCAGCCCCTGCTCGCTGCAACTAGACAAAGACCCAGCACAGTCCAAAAAATTGTTTTAATTAAATAAACTATAGGAAAGACTATCCCGAAGGAGAAAACTTCACTGTAAACAGTCCTAAGTGAAATAAGAGAATAGTAATCATTCATATCTTTTAAAATACTATGCATCCTGTAATAGAAAAATTACTACTTTAAAAATATGTGAGGTTCATGTCTATCACAAAAGAGAGCTTACCATCTTCAATGGCATTTTTGATGGCACGAAGTCCATCCCTTACAGCATCCTTGATTTGTGTGAGAGTATGCTTATTTGGTCCCTTAACCAACAAGGTGACAGAGCGAGGGTTAATGCAGTCCTCAATAAAAGTGTATTTTTCCTCACCCTAAAGGGTAATACAAGGAGATACAACTTTAATACGCAAAGCCATTATGAAATCAAGGCCCAGTGGATACTATCAGAACCCAAACTTTATACAAATTTTTCTTATCAAGTATAACTAAATGTGGGCTTCCCTGATGGCTCAGCAGGTAAAGAATCTGCCTGCGATGCAAGAGCCACAGGAAACATGGGTCCAATCCCTGGGCTGGGAAGATCCCCTGGAGGAAGGCATGGCAACCCACTCCAGGATTCCTGGAAAATCCCATGGACATTGGAGCCTGGCGGGCTGAGGTCCACAGGGTCACAAAGCATCGGACACAACTCAAGCAACTGAGCACATCACACAGCATTAACCAAATATGTGTTAAAGCAGTTAAGTTATATTTGAAAGTCTGCTATTCACATTATAACCACTGCCCGCAGAAATACTCACTAATGTGTGCTCATATACAAGACCAGCATATCCCAAGCAGTCTACACTGAGGTCTTCAACAGAATTCACAGCCACTCCACCACAAGCAAGAGAGAGTCTGAAATTACATATATGACACCATAGCTTTGGTTATGAAAAATATACAGACTAATTTGTTCAAGGTGAAAAATATAATCTAACACAGAAGCCTGCATTGTCATTATATTGTATTCTTTTCAAATCTGTTTTAAGATGAAAACCTTCTGAGGTTCTGATGAGAAAAAGTTGAGATGTATTAACAATCTTGATTTTTAACACTTCCATTATTTTTTTTAACAGTTCCATTATTTACTGAAACTAAGAAAAAATTTTGAAATATGTATGCTACTACTTGATGGTTGGATGGCATCACCAACTCAGTGGACATGAGTTTGGGTAAACTCCAGGAGTTGGTGATGGACAGGGATGCCTGGCGTGCTGCAGTCCATGGGGTCACAAAGAGCCAGACATGACTGAGCGACTGAACTGAACTGAATGCTACTTTTTGTTCAACAACACTGACATAAAAGCTAAAAGGAATACACACAGGATAATTTCAATTTAATCTATAAAAAAACTTAAGATACATAATTATCAGCAAGCTTACCTTTCCATGTTTCTTCTTTTTGCTCTACGAAGAGCTAAAATGCCATGTTTTGCAAGAGCGTCTAAGGAAAATGGATCAATTCCCTATAATCAAATTAGCATAAAAGTTATAAGCATGTTTTTTTTTTTATAAGCATGTTTTAAGCCAATAGATCTCAAACTTTTTGGTCTCAACACTGCTTCACAATCTTAAAAATTACTAAGAACCCAAAGAGCTTTTGTTTATGTGATCTGTATCTATAATACTTATCATATTGTAAGTTAAAATTATAATATGGGAAAAAAGAAAGATGGCGGAGTAGAAGGACATGCACTCATCTTCTCCTGCAAGAACTCCAAAATTACAACTCGCTGCTGAACAACCATCAACAGTAGAATGTGGGATCCCACCAAAAGAAGATATCCCACGTCCAAGGGCAAAGGAGAAGCCCCAGCAAGATGGTAGGAGGGGCGAAATCACATTTAGAATCAAACCCCATACCCACCAGAGACGCTCTGAGGGCTCAAACAAAACCTCTGTGTGCACCAGGAGACCCCTGGTGCAGAGACTGAGCCTGCCTTTGAGTGTTTGAATGTTTCCTGCGGGGGTAACAGGTCAGCAGTGGCCTGACGCAGGGGCAGGGGCTCTGGGGGCAGCAGACCTGGGTATGGCATAAGCCCTCTTGGAAGAGATCACCATTAACCCCAGCAGAGAGCAGCCAGAACTTACACAGGACTGGGGATAGAGAATCTAGTAGGGCACACACAAAACCGTGTGCGCACCAGGACCCAGGACAAAGGAGCAGTGGCCCCACAGGAGACTAACTCAGACTCGCCCCTAAGTGTCCAGGAGGCTCCAGCAGAGGATGGGCTGGTGGGGGTCTACAGCAGGGTCGGGGGCGGGGAGCGCAGCAGAGCCTCCACCAGATCTTTTGAAGGAGATTTACCTTCATTACCATTAGCTTTATTACCTCGACCATAATTTGGCCTCAAGGAGGGAACACAGCCCTGCCCAAAACCAGAAATTGGATGAAAGATTTACTGAGCATGGCCCCACCCATTAGAACAAGATCCAGTTTCCCCTTCAGTCAGTCTCTCGCATCAGAAGCGTCCATCCTTCTCCATCAGAGGGCAAACAGAATGAAAACCACAATCACAGAAAACTAATCAAACTGATCACATGGACCACAGCCTTGTCTAACTCAATGATATGAGCCATGCTGTGTAGGGCAATCCAAGACAGATGGGTCATGGTGGAGAGTTCTGACAAAACGTGGTCCACTGGAGAAGGGAATGGCAAACCACTTCAGTATTCTTGCTTTCAGAACATGAACAGTATGAAAAGGTAAAAAGATAAGACACTGAAAGATGAACTCTCTGAGTCAGTAGGTGTCCAACATGCTACTGAAGATCAGTGGAGAAATAACTCCAGAAAGAATGAAATGACAGAGCCAAAGCAAAAACAACACCCAGCTGTGGATGTGACTGCTGATGGAAGTAAAGTCCAATGCTATAAAGAGCAATGTTGCATAGGAACCTGGAATGTTAGGTCCATGAATCAAGGCAAATTAGAAGTGATCAAACAGGAGATGGCAAGAGGGAACATCGACATTTTAGGAATCAATGAACTAAAATGAACTGAAATGAGTGAATATAACTCAGATGACCATGATATCTACTACTGTGGGCAAGAATTCCTTAGAAAAAATGGAGTAGCCCTCATAGTCAACAGAAGAGTCTGAAATGCAGTACTTGGATGCAATCTCAAAAACAACAGGATGATCTCTCTTTGTTTCCAAGGCAAACCACTGAATATCATGGTAATCCAAGTCTATGCCCCGACCAGTAATGCTGAAGAATATGAACTTGAATGGTTCTGTGAAGACCTACAAGACCTTCTAGAACTAACACCCAAAAAAGATGTCCTTTTCATTATAGGTGACTGGAATGCCAAAGTAGGAAGTCAAGAGCTACCTCGAATAACAGGCAAATTTGCCCTTGGAGTACAAACTGAAGCAGGGCAAAGGCTGACAGGGTTTTGCCAAGAGAACGCACAGGTCATAGCAAACACCCTCTTCCAACAACACAAGACTCTACACATGGACATCACCAGAGGGTCAATGCTGAAATCAGATTGATTATATTCTTTGCAGCCAAAGATGGAGAAGCTTTGTACAGTCAGCAAAACAAGACCGGGAACTGACTGTGGCTCAGATCATGAATTCCTTATCGCCACATTCAGACTTAAATTGAAGAAAGTAGGGAAAACCACTAGACCATTCAGGTATGGCCTAAATCAAATCCCTTACAATTACACAGTGGAAGTGACAGACAGATTCAAGGAATTAGATCTGATAGACAAGAGTGCCTGAAGAACTATGGACAGAGGTTTGTGACACTGTACAGGACGCAGTGATCAAGACCATCCCCAAGAAAAACAAATGCAATAAGGCAAAATGGTTGTCTGAGGAGGTCTTACAAATAGCTGAGAAAAGAAGAGAAGCAAAAGGCAAAAGAGAAAAGGAAAGATATACCC